ATTTATCAGTAAAATGTAACAGTTATGAAGCCACTGTTGTTGAAATCTTCATCATTTTATTGTCAAATAATGCAGTTATGAAAGGTCATTACCTAAAATGTTGGTGATACCTTTCATCATAACAGCAGAAATTACATGAAGTAGTTCGCTTAAAATAAATAGTCATAAATTATATTCTAGATAGAATTCTTTCAGCTTCATTCATGCTAAAGAGACGGCCAGCCACAGACGAAACCTGGAGAAGAGGAAAGAGTCTAAAAAATCAAGTGAAGTGTCAAAACTGGTTGAGCATCCATCCGTGCAGATTGATAATGAAAACAAGCAGACAAAATTCTAAAGTAACAAGGTAGTGGCGGAACCCCCTTAAGATGCTACAACATTTTACAAGATTTACAAGAAAAGGAATTGGTCCCCCGCGTGGCGCAGTGGTTAGAGCGTCTGCTCTCCAGTCGCGAAGTAATGAGTTGATCCTTACATTGCAGGTACGAATCTCGCTGAGGAACGTGACAAAAGGTCCTTCAGGATGAGACCGTATAAACCGAAGTCCCGAAATACAGTAGATCCTTCTTTGGCCGTAAGTGATTTAGCAAAAAGTTCCTGCACCACTCAACCTGCAAATGGTGACTTCTACTTATGAATGATAAATTTCTTGAGAGGGACGTTGAACAACGTACAAACATACAACATACAAACAGAAACATACGGAATCTTTTAATTGATCTCTTCCTTATTTTATTATTTTATGTGAATTAAATTTCATTTTACCCCTATGTTTTTGCATGTATATTTTTTAAGATTTGAACCCTTTACAAGTTTTGCGTAAACATTTTTTATAGTAGAGGATTTAGTGTCTCTTTGCTTTTCTGACGGATATATTATGTTAGATTATAGCTTATACTTTGGTTTGACTGGCCTAGAGAGATATAAAAAACATTTCCTCGTCAATTTTTATTATTGTTATTGCATGTTTCTTTTGTGAAAAAGAAAGTAAAAACACTGACCTCTAAGAACAAAATGCTCATGCTTTTTAAATGAACTGGAAAGCACGTACCATGGCAGGTGATTTCTCCACTACAACAAGTATAGAGAAAGGATACACAGTTAATAACATTGATTGCAGACACAAGGAAAGTTCCCCAAAGTCGAAATTCCTATTTCGTGGGTGGGGGGGGGGGGGAGTGGGCAACTTTTTCAAAGGCAAGTTACTTTCAATTCCAATTTTCTCCCACAATTCTTGGGGGGGGGGAGTGGGCAACTTTTTCAAAGGCAAGTTACTTTCAATTCCAATTTTCTCCCACAATTCTTCGATATACCTATACTTTCCTATAGTAAAGGTAATGTTGAGGAAAAATACCTGTGATTTTGTTATTCATTAAAAAGTGGGGGGGGCACAGACATACTCTTGCCCCCCCTCCCCCCACATCTGAAAGTGGGGGGGGGGGTAGTGCCCCCGCTGCCCCCCCCCCCCCCCTGTGACTACGCCTATGCTAGATCCAGTGTCGCAGTATTTGCTGGCAAGTAAAAATCCCTCACTGCTCAATGGCCCTGAGTACAGAGTATAGGACGAAATTTGTAACTCTCCACCGGCAAGTGGTGGAGTCTACATTTGAGAGAACAATTCTCGAGAGGGGCGTTAAACAACAATGACTCTTTCTGGGTATATCCTCTTGTAGCTTCTCCTGAAAATTCATTTTTCCCCTCGATTTCATCCCATTTTCTTCCTTTCGGTCCACATTCTATATAATCGAAGATTTGTGCATAATATTTATATTTTAAAAAATGTATCATTGTTATAATTATTAATGTGTTTGTTTACTTTTGTAATTTTTGTTTTGTTGCAGTCGCATTCAGTTGTTAAAATTAGTATTTATAAATTTGTTACATGTACATTGAAACAAAATTGATAAAAGATTTTCAGTACATCCAAATAATAAATATTTTAAGTAAACATACTTTTATTCTCTTTTCTTTTCATGAGCTTACATTCCTCATTTAGAGGTGTGCAGAAAAACATAAAAACAATATTTAAACCAAGACTATAAAAAAAAATCAAACCACTATTACAAAATACAAGCTTATTTAGAGAATTTGTGTCACCCGCTTAGGGGAAAAAAGACCATGCGCAGTCAGGGGGGATCCCCCCTGACTGAATTTGTACAATTGTTAAATGTATACATCTATGTTGTATATTGAATAAAAACAATGCCAATATTGATATAAATATTTGATTTTTTATTCGTTATTGTACGTATAGAAGCTTCTTTTTATATATAATATTTATCACACTGTAATGATATTTTTATGAGTTGTAAAACCCAGACGTCATATCTTATCACATGATATTTAGTGAAAAAAAAAATCAAAAAAAGAAAGCAAGTGGAGCATACGGGATTCGAAACCGGGACCTCTTGCATGTCAAGCGAGAGACGTATCAATACACCACGGAGCTGCTTTCCGCTGTCGGAAATTAAATGCAAACAGTAAGTCACATACATGTATGTATTTAAGTTCGCTATTGTAAAAATTTTACACAATGCATGGTGTCATATTTAGCCGTTAATAAACAGTTACAGACGACAAGATGTAATAAGAATGAAAAGTCTGCAAACAACCTGTATTATACGTAATAGTTTTCCACATGCCCCTGTGCTAAAAATAGTGCCAAGTGACACTTAATACTAATTTTAAAAAAATGGGGCAGGGCACTTTGAGAGGGGTGAGAGAGGCCCTAGGGAGTTTTGGTATAAAAATTCATTGCACAAAATCTATTTGAAATATTGGCCGCAAACGATATAGTGTTACACAAATGAGAATGAATACATTTTTGACCTTGAACTTAGACCTTTTGACATCAAAGTAAATAGAGGTCTTCCTTAGGCCACAGGGAGTTGTTATGTAAAATTTCATTGCGAAGTTCAAAGGGTTCTCGAGATATCGCTCGGAATCGAAAATGTTATTACAGACAGAATTTGCAAATTTATTACCTTGACCTTTAACCTTTTCACATCAAAATAAATAGGGATCTATTTTATTCCATGGGGAGGTAGTATGCAAAATTTCATTGCAAGAGCTCAAAGAGTTCTCGAGATATCGTGTGGAAACGAAAAGTTGCAGAAAGACAGAAAAACAGACGGACAGCTAGACGGATGGACCAAAACTGATATTCCCCATTTTTCAAGCGGGGGAAAAATCAAAACCACTTTTACGGTACAAATTCATAGCTCATGAAGGTTCTAGGAAGTAATTGGGTTAATCAGTTATACTCTTCTTTTTAATTTTGCTCAATTAATTGTGTTTGTAGAGGGCGGGGAGAGAAAGAGAGAGCGTTTTATACCAGGAGCAGTTCCTCATTGATGAAATTAGTTGATCGTTTTGAGTTTTATCTACAACTGACAGAAAATGTGCCTTAAAAATAGATTGAATTTCTTTAAATATTACTTAAAGAAACTTGTCATTGAACTCTTCAAATGCATCTTTGTATGCTATTTTGTTTACATATAAATTTTTCAGGTTCTATCTAAATTAATTAATTAAATACGATTGTCTAAAAATGAAATAATTCAATAAATGCATGTATTTTTTACGAAACATTGTGTGTGTGAAAAGTCATTAGGAATTTTAAATTTTTAGATTTGTCTTAAATGTCTCACCATAGGAGGTATCATTATTTTACCTTTACTTCCTTGACTCATATAAACATGTAAATACACAGTTAAAGAAATGAAGTACCTTATAAAATATCAGCTGATTTTAATTGGAATATCTGTGGCATTTTCATACGGTATGTACTGCAAATTTAACTGATGATATGCTCTTCGACAGCTGGTTGAATTGTTTATTTTTTTGTTCAGTTACTGTTCTGGTGCCTTTTATTATTTAACAAACTTGAATTTTGTGTACGGTGATCTGTTTGCCTTACAAATACATGTATCTTAAGAAGACTTCTAAGAAAACAAGAGTTAAACGATAATAATTTGAGGAAAAATATTTTTTTTAAAAGATGAAAGAATGTCCTCCCTCCAAATGAAGTGATCCTTTTCAATTTTTCTTAAAGAAAAATTTTTGCTTAAGAAAGAAATTCACATGAACCAATCAAAACACAGATGTTATATGAGGGGATCTATTTCATATCTAGTATGGAGCTGATGGGATGATGCATTTTCTAACCTCAAACGGGAAAAAAGCATAGTGAACTTGGGATTTGACAGAATATCCTTATAAATAGGTTAATCACAGTATGCATATTAACTAATATATATTTCCTTAATATATATGACGTTTTATGTGAAAATTTTTTATTTTCTTCTGAACAAAAAGATACTATATTGTAGGTTTTCCTCTAGCATTGCACTGCCAATTTAGATGCAATTTATTACAACACCTATATAATATGTCTCTTCCACCAGCTTTGCTATAATAACTTGGATAATTTCCACAATAATGGTTTAATTAAAGGGTCGACCCCTTTTTGCTGTTTCATAGGTATAAACGGAGACCTTCTGAGTATCTGAGAAGTTATTTGTCTTCACACGGCTGTTTCAGCAAAAGCAATGCTCTAACATTTTGTATATCCCACCGATGAATTAATTTTACATCTGACGAAGTGATACTGTACTGCTCATGCAATGTCTGATCTTCTTAATCTGAAACATTTTTTTCTTGAGTCAGGGGAAGATTTTTATCCCTGAAGATAAACTACAGGTTTTCTCTATAGGACTAGATACCATGGTACCCGATCCTTCCTCTGATGTCTCGAAGATCCATGTTTGCTCTAGATCTACTTATATTTTGTATTGTTTTAATGACTTTTGATCTTGAGTACTGTTTGTTATCTCCTTATGTTTCACACCAGCATTTTATGGGGGGTTTCTTCAGCAAGCGCGAAAATTTCCAAATGAAAAGTATCTTTTAAAACAGTATGAATGAATGTCTACTTTTCAAAGAAAAAAGCTGTTTTTTAGATGACTTATCAAGATTAAAAACAACAGAGCAAAGTCCAACTCGAATTTGCCCCTACAACTGTGGAGCAAGTCTTGCGGTTGATGGATACATGTCTTCTTGTACAGAGACAGACGTCATTGGAGGTAGTGCATCAGATAAAAGGATGTGGTGGCAAGTAGACCTTGGTGATACCTACAGTATAAAAAGCATCAACATAGCGTTCAAATCATTTGGTGACAAGTATGGTAAGATTATAATTAATTCAATGAGCTAAAATAAAATTTGGAGGGGGGGGGAAGTATTGTAACCGCTGAATCTGGCCTCTTATTGGATGTAAAAATCAGAACACAGTTAAACTATAGTATAATAGTATGTAGTTAAATTTATGCTTGTTTCAAAATCATCACTAAGTTTGATTCACAGAATACATCGAATACATCGAGGCCACATGATGGTGCAAAAAGAGGAAGTTTCCCCGAATTTTCTCAATTCTGGCAGAATTCTGCCAAATTGAGATAACTTTCACTTTGGAAAGCATAGAGCACGAGCTTGTCTATCTGAGATTTTTACACAAAACATTCATCTTATACTAGTGTAGTAAATATATGAATTTGGTATTAGATAGGCAAGCCATTTGCCGTAAAATTGATGAAATTTTGCCTAAAAATGAGAAAAATTGGAAATTAGCCTATTTTCTGACCATTCCATGACCTATTTGTATCCCATAACGTAGAACCAATACTCATTTTGTGGCAGGGGTGAATAGTGCACGTGGTTTCCAATTTTTGAACTGTTTCATCATTCTAAAAGACCCAAACCAGGGGCAAAAATTTTGGCCCTATATCCTATCTTGTCCATTCTAAGGACATATGGCACATTTCACCACATTCCAACTATCTGTAAGGTCACAGGAGCTACAATCATATATATATTTTGTAAAAAAAAAAAAAAAAAAAAAAAAAAAAAAAAGCGCTCTTTTGTTCCCTCTGTCGTGTAGCAGAAGCAATGTCAAATACAATGTATCAGCGGCCCATGCCTCTAGCTCTATTTTGTCTACGAGGGAAGAAAGATTTTCTGAAGACGGCTAGACCTTTCATTATCATTGGATTGTTATGTTTTTTTCATAACTTTCTTACGTTTCTTGAAAACCAGTTGCCTACTTCACTTTTATTCTTGTTGTTGCAGTAGTATACTATGATTTTAACATTAATTTTATATCGTCATCTTCCCTTACTTATGCAGCAATATGCCTTCATCACCTGCATAGGGAGTATGCCTCAGTTGATTTGATACGCAATAGCATGCTCTACGTGTGAACAATTTCTAAAACGAGGTCAATTATAGACAAGCAAGTTGATGAAACAAAAATATCAGCAGACTCGTTTCAAGTAATCATTTCGTAAGTTCTATGGTCGATTCAATGACCTTGTAAGCAAATACAATTTATCATTGAGTCAAATACTGACTGACGTTTTTCATACTAATTGTTAGTCCATTATTTATACACGGAATCGACAATGAATTTTGCCGTTATTACCTGATCATGACAAGGAGCACACGTCAGGTGTGACTGGTCAGCAGGGGTTGCTTACTCCTCCATGGCACCTGATCCCAACTCTGATGTTTCGGTGGTCCTTTTTCGCTCTGCTCAAATGTATTTTGTATTATTTTATGGACTTTGAGATTGAATACTATTCGTTATCTCCATATCCTTCTCAGTGTTCCCAACATTTCAATAAAACCAATTTATAACAAGATTTCGAAGCTGTCTTACAATTAATATTTACATTTGTTGTGTTTTTTTCTAGTACATGTATGTCATATGTGAAATGGATATGATAACCATTTTCGTGAATACTCACGCGTAGAAATGTACACGGAGCAACGTGCGTTAATGTGACACCACAATGAGGCTACAGCGATATCAGTAAAAATAAACGATAAAGGGCATCAAGAAATTCAAACATTGAGTATATTCTTTGGATGGTTTTAGACATTGAATTTATAAATATTCTTTAAAAATGTAATAATGACCAATAAATCATCGGTACAAATCTTAAGATACAGTAACCCCCAAACCCGAAAAATAACATAAAAGTTACATGTATGAGTTCAAGCAGTCGTAAATCTAACATTTCTTTTATAAAACACTCACTGCGTTTTTTTTTTCCGTAATGAGTATCATTATTTGAAATGATAAAGAGCAAATATATGTCTCCCCCGCATTTTCAAACAGCTCTTTCTATGACAACTGCCAAAATGCAACTATCATTAATTTTAAATTATTGTAACTAAGAATTTCAGATTGGCATCTATCTTTATCCTTACGTTATTTCAATCAGGTGCAATAAAAAAATAAATACCTGAATAATTAAAATAAATTTCACGAACATCTATATCAAAACTCATGTACTCTTTCTGAAAGCTCTTAGAAAGAACGTTAGGACACTGGAAAGTTTAATTTTGGTGATAATGAAAACAGTTTTAAAGAAAAATGGATCCTTTTTCTGTAAAATGATATGATACTCAACATTATGACAGTAGACTTATTCAGATTTTTTACTCTTTTCATCTCAAGAAAGACTGGATAATAAAAACTAAAATTTATAAAGATGCTTCTTCAAATAAGTTTTTGTATATTTAAAATTGTTCAAATCATGGTGAAGCTAGAATAGGTTCGCAATAGGGAATCAAATTTAGATAATAATAAAAATCGCGAGAAACACAAGGCAAGAAAAAATTTCAATTGATGTAGAAGCTTTTTGTCGCTGTTTAGATTACAAATTATACAAATCATTGCAACCGGGGCTAGGCTGAGGCAACAAAAGAAAATCAATGTTTTGTAATAAAATATATCATGTCCTCAAGTCAAAAATCCTTCATTGAGTGATGTGAAATGAAACTTGTTTTGTGAGCAACTGCAGAAAGCCACAACGTCAACGTAAAGCGATTACATTTACAAGATTCAAAAATATCAACATACAATGATATCAATAGAGATATCAAAAATCAACTACAGGATGAGTCCGCGCGAAATGAGAACACGTCTGTTGACCATTAAGTACATAGGTACAACGAATGCCTCTCTGATATTCTAGACATACGTGCGCCTCTGTGATGTCACACTAGAATATGATTTTTATGTATTCCTTATAATACCAGAAAATGAAATAATTTGCAACTTTAAACTGCATGAGCATAATAAACAACAATAAATCTTATCAATGCATTCTAAAAGTTGCTAGTTAAATCCCATACAGCTGATTATAATCTCGATGAACTTGTAATCACGACGTCATTTTTACCTGACGTCATTTTGGTAAAAATGACGTAATTCATGTTATGTGAGAGGCAGATTGAAGAATTTTTTAACAATGAAAAATGCGCTTTATTATTAAACAAAATGTTATTTACAGGCGTTAAATATGCTATCATTTGTTCAGAGCGATTATTCATTAACTATCGGGAGAATATATTAAAATAATTTTGTCGTGTTTTTATTTTCAGGTTAGGTATATTTTACATCGAGGTGCCTCATTAAATCGTTCTATTGCAAAAGTATACACTAAATAAATCTTAACCATTTTTTGAATATAAATAAAGGATATGTTACTTATTTTGAAAAGTGTTGCTGCTTTCTTTAAATCAGGAGGGTGATTTTATAAGTACACAAAATATTTGGTGTATGTCAGACATATTTTGACATGGGCCTATTTACTTGAAATTTTACCTATTAAAACGCGAATTCTATTCAAAGCAGCAGCACTTTCCAGAAAGTACAAAGTATACAGAAACAATTAATAGCTTGAATTTTTCATTTCAAATAGGGTATGCCCGTGCGATATTGAAATTTGTTAATGACCTACATTCAGTTCACGTAGTATGCATTCATCACGCGACTGTCCATCGATGGGACCAAACTTCATACAGTACAGAGCAGGTTATATTATGCTATTTCCATAAGTATTAAGTTATGTGATAATAAAACAGCTAAATAAAAATAAATTTAGTTTTAAAAACAATACCTGTGTTTGCATTTCTATTTTCCGTTGATTTCTCATAGTAGACCTTAAGGGGATGAAGGATGTATGGTCACGTGACTAAGTTTAATTACGTCATAATCTCTGATAAAATATGTACTTAACCAGATTAAAGCCACAGTATTTGTAAAAAAAAATTTACTGTTTGTTTGATTTCACCATCTTGAATAAAATATCTAAAAACATTCAAACTTTCTTGCAAATAGTTTCAAATTACGGAATAGATTGATCCACTCTTCTGTTTCCCTACACTGCGCGTCCAACGAGTCGCTGACGTCATAGTGGATCTTAGTACAGTAAGATTATACAAAGTAAAACATGGGTAGTATAATATCATAAAAACGGGTCAAGATCAGTACATGGTTGGATATTTTATGAATTGCAGAACACAAAAAATATTTTAGATGGTTGTTGACGGAAATATATTGTAGTTATTTCTTACTTAGCTTATTTCGCATATGTGTGACGTCATACTAGGGTTTCCCCGTACTCGAGAAATGTAAACATGATACGTTTTTCTCATGCCCATGTCTTGTTTAACTATGTCCTGTGCAATATTGAGCTCAGCTTCACCAATCGATATTTTTGCAGTTAATCAATAACATGAACTTGCATTTCGACGTAATTTTTCAAATATTGAATGATAGGATTTTTTGTAAATTAATTTTTTTGTCGTTTAAATTGTCTTAAAAAGAAGGTAATTTTCCGTCTCCAGATGCGGTGTGACAAAAGAATCTTGCTTTTTCGAATTCTTAACCCTATTCATACTCTGAAATATTTTAGAAGACAAATGTTCGCTGACATATTTTTTATCTATGCTGAAAAAATTCCATTATGGACCGAGTAATGGGCCCAGAAACAGGAGAATCAAACCTTCACTCAGACACTGTGGGGTATAGTATTTGTCACTCAATATCTAAGAAATAAATCTAGAAACCTATTGATATATCTGCTTTAAGGTATGTGGGACATACTAAATATGAGATATACAAAATATGAAAAAAAAAATGAATGACAGGTATTTTTTCAGCTAAAGGTCCTTCATCCCCTTAACAGTGTTGCGCCGCCTTTCATAATTCTAAGACAGAAGCACTGTTGCAGAAATATATACAAGTAGATTTAAAGTAATGGTTCCAATTGCGTTGGATTTTCATTCATACTTGCGACTTTGGTTCAATCATCCTTGTGGGCATTTTTTTTTTTTACTTTTTTAGGCTCGATTTAACGTTATTTTTTTTTACTGGAATCGGACGGAAGACCTCTTGTTGCTCGCAACGAGGTCGTTTCTAGTTACATGTGTTATTATGATTATTATATAATTCTTTTAATCGTATACAGAACCACTACGTCACAGGAGAAAAAGTTTAAGTGAAAGCTTTATGAGGTTGTATATATTTTCTATTGTTCGAATCAGAGTCCCGTGGATAGGGAAGGACCAAGATAGGGAATAAAAACATTTACATTGATATATGAAAAAAATCGTTAAAAATATACATAACAGCCCCTAGGCCTGAAAGGGTGAAACTTCCTGAGGTGGTAATGTAGATTTTAAATTGTTCAAATTATGACAGTTGGTATTAGTGTTTGGTCCCAATAAGTATTACAAGGGTGGATCCTGTTAAGAGTATGAGGGCCAAATTCACGCGTTGTGGCCTGTGGACCTCTTGTGGCACATGTGTTGTAGATTTGTGTAATGTCAAACTTTTAAAATATAACTTTATATTGGTTTCATTCAGATGAATTTAAAAGCTTTTTAACAGAAATAAAAGGTTTTAATTTAATAAACGAATAGTATTTATCTTCTCTGTCAAGCTCTGCTTCAGTATACAACTTATGCTTTGAAACAATGTTGTTGATCATTTATATTTTTCCTTAACTGTGATAACCGGCCTGGGCTCTATTGTAAGCAGAGTTTTTTTTATTTTCTATTGGTAGCAGAGTTTCTTTGTTTAAAAATAGTGTAGCACTAGCTTGACACCATTCATTATGTTCCTAAACTAAAAGTACTTAAATTGTAAAAAAAAAAAAAAGTGGAGCTGGTGAAATATATTCCTAATCCATATTTTTTATGTAGGACAAAAGATGTAAAATGATAGCGTTTTAAGAGATGTCCTGTTTTTTCTTAAATAACCACCTGTTGTCCAAAAGTGTATTAAGAGTTAAATCATAATATTAATATACTGCAATTAATTGTAGTAGAGTATATATTGAGAAACTTCTATTGAAAACAAAATATATTAAGTTAACGAACAGTATTCAAAACTCAAAAAATCAAACAGTACAATCAAATGGCAGAGCAAACACGGACCTTGAAAACATCGGAGATGGGATCAGATGCCATAGAAGACTGAGCATACCATGAAAACCGGTCACGTGCAACGTGTACTCCGTGTCATGATGTGTACTCATGGTAAACACCGTTGACAATTCAGTGTGCAAACAATTGACACAACAAGAGTCAAATGCATCAGCCAAAATGCTACTGCATAGACCAAAAAAACTCATGAAGTGAAGACTCCAAAATCCTGCCTGACCACTTACATGTATTAGCCAAGAACCAGCCTAGCCCCAAAATACGTTCATTAATAGAGCATGTACCCGCGCCCAAAACTAACCAAGAGGCATAAACCCTGTCATTTATTGAATTCCTTTTTTTTTATTCATACAAAAGAAGAAGGTACAGTTTGGGCTTTATTGTGCCCTAAAAATTTAATGTTCTTAAAAAGTTATGATATTGGCTTTAACAAGAGTTGAGTAGATGAATATGATAAATCATTAAAGAATATGGCATGAAGTAAGACCATTCTGAAAATATGACGTCATTAATTTGGTACATTTCTAAGTTTAATGCAGAAAAGCCTCAGAAAGACTCGTTTTTGTGCTTATTTTCCTTTAGGAAATAGTCTCTGTCACCGTCGCCCGCTACAATTTTCGGATATATTATGTAAATTGCTTTGGAAAATCACATACCTCAAAATCTCTCTGGGCGACGGTGGCAGAGTATGTTTTCTGAAAGAAAAATCCACTGAAAATTGATGTCTCCTGCAACTTTTTAAGAAAATATGGGAAAATGTACGAGTTTATGACGTCACAATTGGCATTTAGGAGTTCATTTCAGGAAAACAATTTGTGTATTCTAACTGCATGGGATCCTTATGATTCAGAAAAAATGAATTTGAATTTCTTATGTCACTTTTATATTTTAGATAAATACAGGGCTTAATTTGTGTTAAAACTTTACCTCGTTCTTTATTCACAAAAGTGAATGGGATAGGGCACCAGGCAAAGCCAATTTTAGCCCCATCCCTATTATGGGACGTGGAGACCGATTCTTCGGGTAAGACCGTATAAACCGTGGTCTCCTGTCGCAGTAAGTGCTGCTCAATGCCCATGAGTGCCAATGTAGGCCAGAATTTCGAATTTGTAGCTCTACCGGCAAGTGGTGGCGTCTCATTAGAGTACCAACTACTCACTATCGAAAACGAATTTTAATTTCAATCTACGAATCAAAAAAGACAGATTTGTGTCATTTTCAAATACGCCAAATTTCTCATATTTGTACATGATATTATCTCAATTTTTTTCCACTGCATTTCCTTGGAAGATAAATAACTTTATAGGAATTGAAACCATGCCGAGCGGGGCATAAAGATCGTACTTGAGAAACTTTTTAATTATTTAAACTAGAGGTACTGTGAGCAATGAGCTCACTAAATGATACCCCCGCCTCCCATAATGTCGATGTGTTGCTTTATATTGTTTTACGGTAATGTGTAAAGAGGAATAACTCGTCCTATGAAGTGTTATCCAGAAGCTTCTATTATGTGACGTCATAGGTAAACAAAAAATGGCAATGTCCATGTTTTGCTCTGGGAAACCTAAAATACGTGTCCAATAAAAAAGTAAAATAGGAGGTGCACAATGGCAATATGTAATCAAGATTCTGTGAAAGTTTCATTAAATTTCACTCAGTAGTATAAGAGGAGTTGCGGATTAACAGACGGACGGACGGACGGACAGAAATTTATATACCCTCCCGCTTTTCAAGCGGGGGGTATAATGAACCTCTCACTTCACTTCAGCATCCTGTCAGGTTAAAATGCATTGTTTTTTCTTTGCTATTTGAGATTGTTCTAAAGCTTATTTTACAAATTTGTCAACAAAAATGTACTGATAATTTTTAATTTAGAAATGTCTGCATATAATCCATTATGTATATATTTATAGTTGAAAGAGACCGAGGACGCGTTGCTGGATTTTCACTTTTTCTGTCAAACTCCAAGAGTAAAGAAAACGGATGGATGTGTTACAAAGACGGACCAGAGTTACCGCCATTAAACTTCAGTACAGACTGTATTGGACATGGCCGTTATGTCATCTATTACAATGAAAGAATGGATGGTGAAACCTATCCAGATGGATACGAAACAATATCCTTTAATTTTCTTTGTGAAGTAATAGTAAAAGGTAAATTTATAGTTTACGACCCACAACAAATCAACATAATATTATGCTAGCAAAGTTTAAAATCGGTTATATCATCACTTGTCTGTATCATCCTGGTAATGTATGACGTTTCAAATAAGGATATACTGAAGCTAGATGTGATTTAATCTGTAGAATTATTATTACATTTATGACTGTACATTTCGCTTAAAAAATATTTTACCCCACACTAATCGGTTTTAATCAAAAAGATATCAGCATTTCACTATTGTTTCTGGGAAACATATCGAAATGCGCTCTGTCACAAAAATAATTATATATTGTTAAACGTACCTTTCAGGATTTTTTATACCCCCCGCTTGAAAAGCGGGAGGGTATATAGTAATCGGTATTTCCGTCCGTCCGTCCGTCTGTCCGTCCGTCTGTTACGCTTTGGGGTACCCTTCTCTTATCCGCAACTCCTCTCATACCAATGAAGGAAATTTAATGAAACTTTCACAGAACCTTGTTTACATATTGCCATTGTGCACCTCCTATTTTACTTTTTGATCTGACATATATTTTGGATTTTCCAGAGCAAAACATTGACACTGCCATTTTATTCATAAGGGAGGCGGGGGGTATCATTTAGTGAGCTCATTGCTCACAGTACTTCTAGTTTTACTAATATTGAATAGTCACCATTAACCAGTGAAGGGCCTAGAATGTAGACCTTTATTCAGCTCAATGAGCAGCGAGATTGCTTCGTGCTAACGCCTACCATCACACGGAAAATCGGTTTTCAAGGCCTCATTCGAAGGACCCGCAACTTTAACAAAATGCCAATTGCTTTGAGCAATAACAGTTTCTTCCTATTTTATTATCGCCTTAGGTTTGTCTTGACCAAGATTTGAACAAACGACCTTTAAGCCAGGGAGCAAGCATAATAAAGAATTTATTGCCAAGTGCAGCTAAAAAAATATTTTCTGTTTTGCTATCATGAAAAGAAATTATGATTTTTATTATATTGATTAGAAATTATTTTACAAATCATTGGAATTATACGAGGGTTGTTCAATGAGCTCAAGGACAATGAGGGTTTTTTTTTGTAAAAAGGAATGGTCCAAGATTTATTTATTTTATACCATAACTTTAGCTGTGAAAATTCAAGTAAGAAATAATTTAGTTTATATTGTTTGAACTAAAATACTTTTGTAAAATCACGGTCATTATATTAAAGGTCACCGAAAGTGCGCACTGTCGGGGTGAAAATGCTACATGTGTATTAACTTTTAATCAAAGTGTTTTGCTCAGAATGATTTTTATGTATATAACACAATTAAAATCTTAATAAAATATAAATATGTTTTGGTAATAAAGCTGTTATCATCATTTTCTTTAGCATTGTTTACTAAATGACCAGTATAGATATTAAGTAAAAACCGTCAAACATTAAAAGAAAAATCATCACACAAGACCGTGTCGAGCGACTTACCAATACAAAGTCTTTACACTTGAAGCGTCCACTGAGTCATTGTTCTAATTTTTATGTATTTTTTTATATCTTTGTTTACACTAAGATATTATTGCACACATTTGTCATTGTGGACGTTACTTAGATACTAAAACATTCGTCTACGAGTGTTTTGACAACCCTTGTAGTTGACATGTTAACAACAAAGACAAATGTCGATATTTTACAGGGTGTCAGGAAAAAGGAGTTTATGGAAGCGACTGCAATACCCCCTGTCCGGAAAATTGCCAATATCAGAGATGTTATATTGTTAATGGAAGCTGTCTTGAATGTAAATCTGGATGGACCGGACATATGTGTGCAAGAAGTACTTAGCACTTAATTGTTAAAGTCTAGCCTTCCAAGGAAATCTTTTCATCAATAGATATACAATCATTTGTATTTTCATTTCATTATCATAAAGACCATCTGAAAGAAAGACGGTATTTCTGAAAGACAGAAACTTGATTTTTAAATAGATGCTTTTAAACATGATGCATAAGTACATGTATTTACGCACTGTTTGAATTTATTTTTAATTACTGATTATATACCCCCGGTATTACAAAGTGTTATAATTCATAAAAGAATTTATAGAAAAAAAAATCAGCTTCGTTTTACAGCAATCTACACTGTAACAGTTTGAATAGTAAAAACTTTAGAAAAAAGGCACTCATACCACTGATTTGAAGTTAATATTTTCTCAAGTTTTCTGTATGATATGCTGACTTAGAAGTTGCAATAGAATTTCAAAGAAAATACACTTAGATGAATTAAATATTTTTTTGAAATATAATCACTGATGCTGACATTTTCTGGGTAAAAAAATGTACCTAGATACAAATTTTTCAATCCTGGATCGATAGAGGATAATTAAATATTATTTTTAGGTTAATCTTAAATAAATTATTTTATATATTTGGTATTGCTGTAAGTTGAAATGCGGTATATAGTTTACTAATTTCTGTAATTCAGGATGTAATTATAAGTTTTCTTTTTAAATAAACAGGGTGCTTTGAAGGATGGTTTGGACTGGGTTGTACAAATAAGTGTGTAGGACATTGTATTAACAACGACAACTGTAATCACATTTCTGGTATATGTGACGGCGGATGTGCCCCTGGATGGACTGGGCCTATGTGTGATAAAGGTAATGTGTTTTATTTGTATTCTTTAAATAAAAAAGAAGCAGAGAATAATTTCTAAATAAGACATATGTATAGTGTATAATGTTTTTAAATGGTCATTTAATTATCCTGAATATATATAGTGATAAAAAATGTTCAAGGACTTTTACAGACTTTATATTGCTTAGAATACATATTATCGAGTTCATTTTGAACAGATATTTATCTGAGAAATTCCTCGAAGAATATAAAGTACATGTACTTGTATAGAAACTCATCATTGCATACTCCAATGTGAATGTTTCTTTATTCATTATGTCAGTCAAAGAGAATGTTAAAAATAGTTTGACTAATTAGAAATTATATAAATAGTCCATATTTCATTATTTTTTTTAATTTTGTATAAAATAATGGATAAGTCATATTTATCTGAAGAGGTATTCCATAAATACTTTTGTGACTGACCACGTGCACTTATTTGAAAATAAAGCCTCGCATTAAGAGAAGAAAAAAAAACTCCGAAATTGATAAACCTTAAATGTTATGTTAAAACACAAAATAATATTTTTTACAGAATGTGAAAATGGGATGTATGGTATAAACTGTGTACACAATTGCAGTGGAAATTGTTATAATAACTCAAATTGCAACAAAATATCAGGTCACTGTGACACGGGTTGTGGTCCAGGATACTTTGGTACTTTATGTGAGAAATGTATGTGGTATATATTTTGGTCAATATTTTCAGAAAAAATAGTTTAAAAGGAAGAAAATTATTAAATAATCCAAATGACATTTGTTAAATTTCAAAATAAACTTTGATTGATTTTTGACAGCCTGTGCCCCGGGAAGATTTGGTAACTTATGCAAGGAAACTTGCAGCGGTCACTGTGTAAATAACATGACATGTAATCATGTTGATGGAGTCTGCACACAGGGTTGCAATGACGGTTACATTGAAGCAATGTGCAACAAACGTAAGGAGCCTACAAGAGAATGCCGAATGTCATAATCTTAATTTATCATTTAACAAAAAGTCTCACTGAAATAATATACTGTGGTATGAAGACACCCACGAATTTATGTACACCACGAAGTGCAATTTTTTCATTACTACTGAACATTCTTCAACCACGAAATCAAATCTTAATGAATCAATGTACATTTTTCTCAAACCGAGAAAATTTGACCCCTCGAAAATGTGTGATTTAACAGTAAACGTATCTCGATCTGAAAGTGAATCGTACAGATTCATACAAATGTATAACAATTAAACAATTGATGTGCAGAAGTATTAACCATATTATTTTATTCTTTCAGCGTGTGAGGTGGGCTATTTTGGGTCCCTATGTTCTCGGAAATGTTCGGTAAATTGCATCAATACATTTGTTTGTAAGAATACTGATGGAGCTTGTAGATGTGCGCCTGGATGGACAGGGTCACCAATTTGCAACATAGGTTTAGTCCACATTATTAGTTAGGGGATCTTAAGGACAGATGAGACGTTCCTTTATAATAGATAAATTTTTCTAAGAGTTTGTCATTGAAGTATTGCTCTTTAAAAATGCCAGGCATTTCTGCAAGATAGGGGTAGTTTTTCTTATGTAATCCTTTTGGGAAGAAATATTATTTTCCAATTTCAGATTTTAAGTGTTTGGTTTTTTTTTAAAAAACCCTTTAAAAACAGGTTCAGAAATCAGAATGTAATTAAAATGTTGAATATTTTTCATACATTACGAATATATACAAAAGAGATTTTGAGGAACGTCTCGTCTGACCTTAATAATCGTAAAGATCTGCAGTCAATTCCATTTTATTTCAATATCACATCAAGCACATACACATGTATATTAATTTTAGTAGGTATTTTTCTCATAATGAATTAAAAATCAAGTAAAATTTACACACATTCAAGAGAAAAATATCATTAGAGATGGTAATAAAACATTAAAATTGTACTAAAACAAGTATAATTAGAAAAAATCAGGTAAACCTCCCGATTGAAAATATAAGAGAAAAATTTGATTTGTTCTCTTTTCATTGAGAACAAAGTTTTCCAAGATCAATACTCCTGTATATATATAATGTAAATATCAATGGCAATACATGTAATCATATTTATTCAATTCATGAAACAATTCCATTGTTTATTTAACTTTATGTATTTATATTAAAGACTTGCTTAACAGACATATGACTGTTTAAAGTTTGTTATCATACATTGACACACACTTGTATTTATATATGAACAAAACGTAAAATATTTCATTACAAAATAACTGATCAATTCTTTTTCATTTATCCTTTTCATTATCAAAATAAGTTTACTTTTCCTTTTTTTTTTAATAAAGAATGTTCCCAAGCATATGGCGAAAACTGTCAACTTCCCTGCAGTGAAAACTGTGTGAACCGCACCTGTGACAGATTCAACGGAAGTTGTTTGACTGAATGTATGGGAGGAACTTTTGGAGAAAAATGTGATCAATGTGTGTGAATAAATTTTATTTTCAACATTTTTTTATCCTTGTGTACTGTCTTTTTAAACAACTTTTCTTATAACTTGCTTCCGTATTCTTGTACCTCTTTTAATTTAACTCTCGTAATTGTATGATAACGTACAATAGTTGAAAAATTCAAGTAACTATAATAACATTTGTCGTACAGTCTATTTATTTTTTACTTTGCCTTACTTTATGAAGATTTATGATGTTATTTCCTTCTTTTCCCTCAGGGAGAGTAGAATCAAGTGGCGATTCAGGACCCCCTCTTACTTCTGTTGTGATTGTTGGTGTTTTAACAGTTTTCATCATCTTTGCTGTCGTCGTTATCTTCTCTATACGGTATTTACAAAAAAAAAACTATTTAAGTATTTGATGTTTATTGAAGAGTATATATTTTGTATTATTTGGGGTGTTAAAAGCATTTAGAGGAATCTTTTAAATACGTTTTAAAGCACTTATTTTTTTCATAAATACACGTGCACAATATGAGATTTATTTTTATTGCCCTCGTTTTCATCAAAAGTTTATTTGAGTCTGCCTGTTCGTTTGTTTTTCTGTCTGAAACACTTTTGTTTCCGTTGGATATCTCAAGAAGCCATTTTAGCTTTTGCAAGAAAGTATTACATAATAACCCCTTCTGACCTGAGGAAAAACCGTATTTTTTAAATCGACGGTTGAGGACATGAATTCCTAATTTCTATCTGTTTCAACATTTTCGTTTGGAAAACCATGGACCAAAAAGGGTTCTTATCCTGGATTGTCCTTTTATTTCATAACTCCCATTAACCAACCCCCCCCCATCTACTTACCAGATCCGCGCATGTTTTTTTTTCTTTCTTCCTTATGCGGGAGAAAATTTTTTTTGTGTGAATTTGAAATTTATGTTAGTTTGCTTGAGATGAAAATAGGGAAACATGTCCTGTTTCTTGATATTGCAGAGATTATTATCGGGAATACATTATGTTTTGGGGTTATAGTTGTCCAAAAACACCCACATGGTACCATTTAAACTGGATTTTAAATAAACAGGGGTTTTATTCGTAATAGGGTAATAGTGTCCTAAACAAACACACATAGTGCCAATAAATCTGGGTATCAAATAAAACAATTTGGTGTTTTGTTTACTAATTAAATACTTAAATATGTTGGTCATCGCTAGGTTCTCATTCAAGAGAGGCAACAATTTATTAGGATAATCTTGGAGAAATACATTCCATAGGTAGAAAATACTTTACGGTAAAATGTGCTTTACGTTCTAAAGATATTATAACAATAAATAACCACGTACATGTACATATTCTTATTGTTGATACCATTCCTTTTGGGTTTTTTTTTCTTTATTTATCAATTTTTGTAGGCGAAAGATTGTACGAAACTTCAAAACAAGCAAGAAATGTTCTGAGAATAACGGCACTGAAAACATTGAAGTGGTCTCGGAGTACGTAAATGAATATCAGGAATTAAGTTCCTCTAGAGATAACAACGAATATCAAAGCATACGAATGTCAGAAGTTACTTCAGTTGAACAAAGCAACACATATCAGAACCTTGTGTTGACTACAGTGTAGTTTTATAAACTATGTTTTACTTCTTTGTATACATTATAGACCAGTATTTCAATCAGAAGTCCCAGGGACGAAAGATTTTGGTTTTTGCATTTCGTAAAAATTGAGTTAGTGTACAATATATTTTGTTTCAAATAATCTGTCCAACATCTTATACCTGAAAAGAAGAAACACCTACTTGATAAAAATGAACGACATATTGTCAATTAACAATTATATAGAAATTTTCATTCCTATGTCGATAGGATATATCCAAGTGAGATTGAAATAAAGATACGACAGAGTTTGACATATCTGTTTCATGTTTTAAAAAATTACTTGAAATAGACGTTAATAGTAATTTAACAACCAAGCTGTATGATAAACATGATGACTAACTTTCCAATCGTAAACTTCCCTTACTTATACAACAATCTACGTTCATCACCTTCATACGGAGTTTATTTCTCTCTGTTGATTTGGTATGCAAAAGCATGCTCTTCAAATGAACAATTAATAATAATTTCTAAAACGAGGCAAATTACTGACAAACAAGTTGCTGTAACATGAATATCAGTAGTCTTGTTTAAAGTCATTATTTCTTAAGATCAATGGTCTATACATTGACCTTGTTAGCAAATACAATTTATCTGTATGTCAATTTTTGACTGACGGTTTTCAGTCTTATTGTTAAGCTATTTCATACAAATAGAATTCTCGACAGATTTTTTCCGTTATTTCCTGATCATGACAGAGAGGACAAATCGGGTGCGACTGGTCGGCAGGGGATGCTCATGCCTCAGTTGAAATAGACCCCATCTCTTATGTTCTTGTTTGCTGTATTCAAATTTTGTATTGTTTGATAGTTTTTCACAGCTTTAATATATTGATAGGTCAAATTGCATGCACATTAAGAGTTTTAAAAAATATGTTAAATTACCTTTGATTCATGTATAATTTGTTGATAGACAAAAAATGTTCCATAAATGAATATTCTTTGGAACAAAGATGTTTATGCATGAAAAGATATGTATTAGTAAGATGATTGTAACATCGTTTTGTGCTATGTGTTTTTACGTGTATTTCTATTTATAAAAGAAAAACGTGGCAAAATCATGTGACTGTATTTACAAAAATGTAAAGCAAGTAGAGTGTATGTAATCTTAATTGCCTACTCATGAGATCCCATTTTAAATTGTAATTCAATTACTTCTTTGTTACTTGTCTACTTCATTTATGTTAGCAACGCATTTTTTTTTCCATCAAAATTGTAAGTAATTATATAATTAAGGACTTTGAGTTATGTGGCCAATGCACAATTTTGAAGTAAGCAAACATATGCATTTTCTTCGACTGTAGCGTTGCAAGGCTATGACAAATCTGTTTGATATTTTAAACAAATTCATGTATTAATTCTTCTGTTGTAGATATTATGACCATCGATCTTTATTACTTACTTAAATCAGAATCCCAGACCTATTTTGCTTGAAAGTTTTGTTTTATTTAAAACAAAACAATTACCAGGTAATTATAAAAAAGGTAATGATTTCATTTTAAAGCAAAAAAGGTTAAACATATGATTAGATGCCCTCTCTTTATCGTCAAGCACCATCTGAAATATAACTGTTCTCTATTACATTCAAGATATAAAGTTAAGCGAAAGGTGACATGGAAAGTTAAAACAATCAAATGGAACAATAGTAAAAAAATGTAATTGCTCTTACTTTTTCTTTTACATTTGCAAAATGCAAATTTCTAAAGCTTTCTTTCTAATGTACTACTAGATATCTTCATGGCGTACAGAGAATCCAGAATATTAAGGTAAAATTAATTTTCAAAACAGGTTACTCCTAAGTTACGAATAGGGGAATATGGAAAATGGAAATCAATCACATGTTTTCAAGAATTTATAGATATACAAAGTCATGATATTTTAACAAACACATTCCGACTTTGGTTGCATAAATTGTATTTTTTCCGGCAATATATACTTACATACAAAACATATTATATAACATCAGTGAATCATTTGAGATGATATATATTTCATCTGAAAGCAAAAACTTATCATTTTTCAAAGGTTTGATTTCAACATTGATGTCATTAATCGGTAATGTGCAGAGTAAAAATCGCCTGCAATAAAGATGGACAAGATTTTGATAAAGAGATGAAGAACCCACTGTCCGATACATATACATGTAAGAAGCAGCATTCTATTTAAAAAAAACATGGGTGCTGAAGAATTTTGCATTCAATATCTTTTACTTGTAAATTTTTATCTGAAGGTCTGTAGCTCTCCGAGAAAATATATTGATAGACCGGAGAGCTACAGTGCAACCCATTGAAAAAACAGTATATTTATTGCGCACAAAAAAGTGCGCTCGGCTCTCGATTTATTTCTCCGTGTTTCTAAACTGTGATCTCGAAACATTACAAACCGTGTGTTCCTAACATGTATTCTTTTGCTGTTTCCACAACCAAAAATTCTTCAGTATTGTTGTTAATAGTCCTCCTGACCCTGATATTGCAATCATAGAACATTTTGCTTATTTATACTGCCATTTTGGTTTCAAAGATAATTCGGTCCAATCTGCTTCGTTCAGATGTCAACTACGAGCTCGAGAGTACTTGATAGGGGATACAGGATTGTTTAAAATCATCCTTTTTTTGCAACTGAGGTAAGAATTCGGAAGAATTGATCAGGAACCGAGCGCACGTTTTTATGCGCAATAAATATAGTTTTTTCAATGGGTGGCACTGTAGCTCTTTTTGGTAAAAAAAAAGTGGTGGAAGTGTTTTAAACTGAAAATTTCACTTATTTTGACATTATGATTAATTTCAATATTTTTTATATCATATGTACGCTATTATTTTTTTTTAATTAACAAGGAAATTACTGTGACCTCCAGTTGTGCATCAAAGCATAAATATATGCAAAAAAGAAAACGGAAAAAGGTCCTTGAATTCACCAGGAAGTGGAAGTTACTGTTCTGAAATTACGTTTGTGATATTGCACAGAATTTATGAATTCCTTATACTTTGCCTTTTGTCATTATTTGCTGCCAAAATAAAGATTAAACAGTGCTATAAGATTAATCCTTTGGAGGTTTTTAGATGCATTTCTTTCATAGCGCAAATGAACGTTATGTTTGTACTCGTTACTCGTTTAAGGTCATCATTTCGTAAATTCTATGGTCGATACAATGACCTTGTCAGCAAATACAATTTATCATTGAGTCAAATGCTGACTGACGTTTTTCATACCAATTGTTAGTCCATTATTTATACAATGAATTGACGATGGATTTTTTCCGTTATTTCCTGATCATGACAACGAGCACACGGCGGGTGTGACCGGTCGGCAGGGGAAGCTCACTCCTCCATGGCACCTGATCCCACCTCTGATGTTTCGGAGGTCCGTGTTTGCTCTGCTCTTGTTTTGTATATTGTTTAATGGACGTTGAGATTGACTGCTGTTCGTTATCTTCATATCCTTCCATACTTGTACATGTATATGAACCATTTTTCAACACTATCAAAATTCATTATTCCAACTGGTCACCCACGTAGCGCAGTTGTTAGAGCGTGTGCTCTGGTCGCGTAGTAAGGAGTTGATCCTTACGTCGCCTGTACAAATCGCACTGTGGGACGTGGAGACCAATCCTTTCTATGAGACCGTATAAACCGAGGCCCTGAGTTGCGGTAGATCCCTTCCTGCTTAATGGCAGAAAGTGCAGATTTTAGAGGGAACAAAATCCTGCAGCACTCCACCTGCAAATGATGGCATCTTCATTTGAATGATCAAATTTTTGAAAGGGACATAAAACATCATACATACAAAAGCATAAGGAATCTTTTTACTGATCATGATCCCTTTGTTATTTTATTTCATGCGAATTGAATTTCATTTTACCCCTATGGTTTAGCAATTTTTTTTTTCAAAAATTGAACTCTTTACAAGTTCTGTTTTATCACAAGAGATACGTTGTCTCTTTTCATTTCTGGCTGATATTTAAAAATGTTAGTTTATAGCTTGTAATTTGGTTTAACTGGCCTTAAGGTCAAGATATAGTAAATGAAAGATGCCTACAGATTTATCAAACTTGAGAAATAAATTCCCTTATTGATGCTTTACACTTTTACCTTGGTCAAATAAGGTGTTTCGGTGCATAATTTGTAGGTAAACACGATGAAAAACTGTATTTTACACTGTCATTTTTAATGAAAAATCAAGAAAATCAGTCATGAATATGGGAGTTTTTTTCATTTTCGACAAAGGAAATGTATCCAGATTACCTACAGTCTCTCAGAAAATGGTAATAAGTATGTTCGTGGCCTCTGCTTTAAATCAATATAAAATTCAGTATAGGTATCCGGTTTACATTTTATATGATTTTAAATTGAATGTCATGAAAATACCCTATTTGCTACATAATTCTGCTAAAGAAAAGTTGAAAAGGGAAAAAGAAAGTTGAAAATGATTATGACGTCATAATGGATCTAGCGCCAAACAATTAGTCTAAAGTTATTTACTAGATCTTGACCTTAAGAGATTACAAAACATTTCGTTATTAGTTTTTATTACTGATATTGCATGTTTCGTTCGAGAAAAGCAACTTTTAAGTAAAATAGTAGCCTCTTGGAACATCATATGTGGGATCAGATACCAAGGAGTAAAACCCCCCTTTTGACCCCTAACACCTGCGCTGTGCACTTAGTGATTTGAAAAGACGTAAAATCTGGTCTTAATTGATCTTAAAATTAACTACCGAGTCCTAGTAATGTTTTATGTTAAAATAAACATTATAAGCGTCAGCCATCATTCATTTTTATAGCAGAATTTGCAGTGAAAAAAAAAATTGTTGTGTCGACCATAGACTTTGCGTCATGATGACTTTCAAAGAGACTGTGGATATTCTTGCTTCAACTTGTTTGTTAGTAGCCAGATTATGTTTATAAATTTTTTGTACGAGGATTATGCTCTTGCTTATAGACAACTGTGAAACAGAAACACCCCCGCAGGTGATTCAGGTAAGGGATATTAAGTCGACGATGGAAAAGATATTGTAGGTGAATGCATTTGAAAAATAAACAAATACTAGACATATTAGAATCGATGGTATAAATGTATTAATTTTTTTTATCTGTCCGTTCTTCTGCCTCTCTGTCCACAAAACCTTAACCTTACTCAAAACTTTTGAATGGGTTGGGCTATGACTTTCCTTTTTTCAAAGATGATTTAATTGTATCACCAAATTTTGCCTATTGTTCTTGACCTTAAAAGTTTGACCTACCTTCACAATAATACCAATTTTAATTAAATTTTAACATTGGATATAATGTTTTAATGTTTTTTAATGTATAAATGTTTTAAGCCCATCTTTGCTTTTTATAACTGAGTATACATGTAAAGTATTTCATATATAAGTTCTGGCTGAGGCTTCCTATTCTTATGTATTTACTAATATTTTGAGAGACAAAGAAACGACTCGGTCGAAACATAAACAAAAGAATCGTTGAAATTTTGGTGAATCAATTCTCTTGACTACCTCTCATTCACGAATACCCATCCTCCATGACTTGATGTCTAAGGTATTAAAGCCTTTTTTCCTTTTGTATGTTTCAAGTGAATACGGGAAATTACGCACCATGAACCTTTTAAGTTTAAACAGTCCACGAAAATATGCCCTGGCAAATATTGATGGTAACAGTGTATCATTACAATATCTCTTGTGCTTGGAGTCTTTATCGAAAACACTTTATCAGACTCGCTTTAATAGAGTTTTAAAAGATAAAAAAAGAAAAAAAAGGCTGTTTATTCCATTGTAAAAAAAACTTTTTTAAGGAATATATAAATCTGATGTCAACGGAAAATTATAATAAAAAATATTCTTAAATTAAGTACATGCATTTTTTTTATCTAAAAGGAAGCCAGAGGAAGTACGCCTTTATCAATTATACATTAAAAGTACACACTGTAACCGTTACGGAAGATAGTTCAAGGGGACACTATATTATATGAGAGGACTGTTCTTCTTCACAAGGAAGTAACTGTTCCCGAGATTTGAATTCTTATTATTCTTTTTTTTTTAGAATATATAAATAAATACAATTTTGAATCAAAATACGCAAGTCAACTCTTTATGATGTTAGATAAATTGCTTTCATTTATGTGTATATATAATAAATGATCTGCATACAAAACACACTCATACATGTTTTTGTTTTCAACGGTGGTTCGCAATAATTAAATGTGCAACAATAGTCAATTACGACGGAAATGTTTCACCGTATGAAGTATAGTCATTAGATGTTTTGAACTTCCTTGTCAGAAAACTACGTGTTTGAAAACAAAAAAATGTTGTCTCTAAACTTGCTTTCGATGTTTTTAATGAGGATTACTCTCTCTTCTGGATACGGTATGTACATCATTATGTCATTTAAATCTTTTCGTTCGTTTATTTTTTTTATAAATTTTATCTTATTTTAAATTTTATATCTTGTTTACTTATGCTAAACTATAAACTGCATATCTGAATAACATGTTTATCATACATCATATCCAAGATGTCATGTAACGAAAATCTTCGCTGTTAATATTATCCTTAGTACGTGCAAGATGTCATGTAACGAAAATACCTGGCTGTAAATATTAACCTTAGAACATGTACATGTACGTGCATGTCCCTTTAAAGGGAATAAGATTTGTAAAAAAAAAAATAATCATTATCTGTTAGACTCATTAAATGTACATCTCTTTGGAAATTTGTTCAGTTTGATATTTATCATAAAAAACCACGTAATATTAATGTTAGAGTTAATTAATTATAACATTACGGATCTTAAAGAGTTGGAATTTTAACAACAAAATTGTTCAGAAAGAAAAAAAAAGTATTAAAGAAAAGCTGTTGAAAATTTATCATTTATATTATTCTTTGCGTCAATCCTTTGGACTTTATAGAACTCCATTAAAATACGGAAATTTAATTAAATTTGACATTGTGAGATGCCCCCTCCGAAAACACTAAGATAAAATTTTGTATTTCTTACATACATGTACAATGTATAATGTGCAATGTAGCTTTACTCATCATGTATAATAAATTGGGAAAAAGTCTATTCTGGTATTTGTATCGTTTGCTTTAATGTACAAAAAATTTTGTTTCTGCGGTAGGGGGTATTAAAAAATATTTTCCATTTCCGTTAACTTCTAAACTGAAATACAGCAAATGGCTTTCATGTCAATAAATTTAATCATTTTGTCAATAAAGTAGTATTTTTGAAAATGTAAAATTTATCAACATTTTGCCCAACTAGGTTTCCATAGTTTATTTGTTTAATGAATACCACGAAAAAATATGACGTCAGCAAAAAATGTATGTGCAAAAATACAATTGATATGTGAGTTAAATAAATATTAAAAATAAGGAGAATTAAACTTTTATACATGTAAGTGATGAATAGCAAACATATCAATTTTCAGTCTTGAAGCCCTATATTACATGTAATCCCCAATGCCACGAAAAATGCCTTGACCCTTTGACCTTGACCTTGGAGATTTCCGTACTTATGAAAAAACTTTAACCTTAGCCATAACTTTGAACAGTAAGAGATTGGGCTTTCATACCTCACATATGTAATACTTGTGAGAAGACCCTTCATTGGATGCCGAGAACTTTGACCCTTTGACCTTGAGTATGACCTACTTAAATAATGCAAAGCTTGACCAGAGCTTTTAAAGGGTTAGAGCTAGTGCTTTCATACTTGACATATTTAATGATTGTGACAAGACCTTTCATTTGATAGCAAAATATTTGACCATATGACCTTGACCTTGGAGTTTGACCTACTTATTAATTTTTAACCTTGGGCTTAACTTCTGAACGTTTAGGATTTGGGCTTTCATACTTTACATACGTAATCCTTATGAAAAAACTTTAACTTTTTGCCATAACTTTTGAACGCTAAGGCTAGTGATCTCAAACTATACATATGTAGTCCTTGTGAAAAGACCCTTCATTGGATTCCAAGATTTCCAAACTGATGAAAAATTTTAACCCTGGCCTGATTTCACATTTCAGAGCTGTATTTCCAGTGAGTTTGCATTTAAGAAAAGTTGAATTTTCGCTAATTTGTTGCCATACGGGGGCATCAGTGTTTCACAAACACATCGTGTTGTTTATATAGACTCTTTCACTCATCTGTGAAGTACCCGTACTGTGTAATCTATAGTTCAATTTTGTGTGTATAATAATAATCTTTTCAAATAGCAAACAGTAAAATATATACGATATGTATTAGTGTTAAAAGATAATTTAATAAACCTACATACATGTAGATTATTCACCTCTGATTTATAATGATATTTGTTTTATAAACACTCACCATGTTTTATGATATTCTAAACAAATTATTTGATACTCAGGCAAATATTCACTACTGGTAAGATGACCACACACATGAAAATGTCTATGTATGAATGAAATGAATTTTCCTTTTGATCATGTTCCTAGGAAAATAATTATTTTCATTAATTTTTCATCAAAGGATTTACCATATATTAAGATGAATAAAGAAAAAGTAAGACTAGTAAACCAAAACAGAACCAAATAGGTCATGACTGTAGAAATTCAAGTGCATTCTGCAAGAAAGTGGACAGCCTAGATTTTGTTCTTTTCAATGTTTCCATTCTTAAAATATGAAAGTAAATTAAATTGCTCCAGTTTATCTAAAGAATTCGACCCACAAAATGCCTTATTTGGCCTAGCAAATTTGTAAATTGTGAAAAGGATGTTAGAAAATATGCTTTGGGTTATTATCAACCTAGACCATCGATAGATTTCACATGTGCAACAATTTCGTCAAAACCGGATATTACGGTGTCATACTAAATTCTAAACCACAGCATGGTTCGAGGTTTTCCGGAAAAATGCTCAAATTTTACATAATTAATCGTGGTTTTCACATAGAGCACAGTCGTTACCGCAAAATATTGAAACAGAAAAACAATCATAACTGTTCGAGAAGTAATTTCCAATGAAAATATTTTGCGGTAACGAGTGTGCTCATGTTGATAAAAAATAAAATAACATGTCAACGCGTGTAAAAAAGCTATGATCAAGAACCACCATATTTGTCTTTGTCTATTACGCAAACTTTAAAGGATCAATTAGAAAGGTGTATAATATTGATTATGAGAGTGGATAGACACTCATATCCCACAAGTAAGAAAATGTTAACTGAGGCACCCATAGACACGTCTGACTGCTGGAATAAATATGATGGGTTCAGTCTAAAAAAAAGACTTTTTTTTTTTTTTTTTTTTTTTTAGAAATGCCGATTTATGGAATTTTTTTTTCAAAGTTAGATTGATTTACAGGCAAGTATAACTTTCAGATTTATTGTATGTATGAATGCCGCAAATACAAACTTTCATGTCAATTATTATTGTTGCTTATGGCTTTGTTGTTATCAAGAATCGGTAAATATTTTTACAGTCAGTCACTAATTGGTGGGTCATAAGACATCGAATAAACAGATAACACCCAAGGTGATAGCAAAAGCGGTCAATTGTTCGCTGAAGACAATAAATGTGGTAAAGAATTTAAAAATTACATTTTCTGAAAGCCAAGGGGGAAAAACTGTTCTAGGTAATCACAGTTGTACATGACGTTACTCGGGTGTACGTCATTTATGACGTCATAATAGATGCAATCATTAGGAATCAATGCCAGGGAGAAAGGGGTTTACAGATTTAGTTTTCTGTAGCTTTGTTAAATTCATTTTATTGAAACGGGAAATTATCTATTATTAAAAAAAAATTAGCACCTCTGTAAACTGCATTCAAAGTAGAACTCGCGTGTTTGCACATCAAATGCACATGTCCGCACATGCACGGGGGAAGGGCTTTAATTTCATTCGAATGCCGTTTTTTTTTTACTTTTATGTTTGAATAACTTTAAGTAAATTTTTTTTGAGCCATAAATGCTTGAAAACGCACTCCAAAGAACCCGAATCAATTATATTTTGAGAATGAAAATAAACCATTCGAAATACCACATAGTGTGAATTTTGCTATTTTTTTCATGCAGAAATATACACACTTCTTTCCACCAACTTCAGAAAACTATTAAGTGTCCTCTGGGGAAGGCATAGGGAAAAGGTGGGGTGGGGGACTATGTCTTCCTCTGCATTTAATATCTAAATATCGCTGGATCCGCTACTACGTACTAAGATTGGTAGTTTATCACTACACGTTAGAAAAGGCCGGGAGAGGGGGGGATCCATGCTTTGCCATAAATTATACGTTCGTTACATACAATTATATCAGCATTAATGTGAACTACAGAACTTGTCTAAAACTAGACTTAAAAATTATATAATTTACTGGACACGGGTATATTTTCTTAAAAAAAATAGAACTTTGTATATGTTCGTCCTTTGTATCAACCCCCCCCTCTTTTTTATGAAACTGCTTACTACGATATGCACGTTTTTTAGATTTCAAAAACAACAGAGATCATTTTTCACTGTCCTCTTATGCTGTCTTTAGTAAGGCCTTTTTTACAGGCTTTTTTGGGTAAATCAATATTTCCCAATAAATATTAGTAAAATGTTAATGTCTGTACCTGTATTTCACTTTTTATCTTGACGCGTGTTTATAAGAATTACATACGCAATACTACACATGGAAATAATAATGTGAAAATGAAATGGAAAGTGATAAACGACAAGCAATGCACAAGTTAAAAAAAAAACATACTAAATTTATTATCAATCGATAACGATTTATTTACGACATAGTACAAATACCGTCCTGCATACATTAATTATTTTACTGGATGAAACATGATCCAGCGATTGGCTGGTTCGCGAAGATAAATATCTGCGAAATTGAGGTGTGCGAAATCTCGCGGATATTTCTCGCTTGCCCATGAAAATTGGTTAACAGCTGAGGCCTGTACAACAGACCGCACGTTCGCGAGCGCTCGCCAAGTTATTAAAAATGTGTAGTAAAAAGGTCCTTTCAGCTATCGTGTACTTTTTTTCACTTAATGTACCGGTAATTAGATCTAGATTTTTAAAAGGCTCCAATATCAACTACTTTATGGATCTAAAGCTACCGCAGCGGAAGTGATTTCCAATATTTTTGATTCTATTCAGTCAGAATTATCATTTTTGTTTCAAATAATTGCTTATGAATTTGATAAGATAAATATCTGATACTAATTATTGCATTTAAAACCCTATACTCGTATATGTATATAATAGCAAGGTCATTCTATCCCTAATTGTCGTGACGTTACATTACAAAAATGACGTTCCTATTGCATTTTTCTATGAAAACATTGCCATATTGCAAGACCTCGTTTTTAAAAAGTATAATAGATATTGAAAAAAGAAAAACGGATATGAAAAGCTTAAAGTCTATCCTATCTATAATAAAAATTGCGTTAATATTTTGCAAGAAGCATTTTTTGATGGTTCGTGGACTTTGCTCTTTAAACCTTGCTTATTTCTTTTTTTTATATTTAACATAATTTAATACCTATCCAGTAACAGAACAATTCTTATACTAGAACAAAGAAACAACTTTCTAAAGGATTACATACACAATTAATTAGCTTGAAATCGGTGTTTATTGGAAAGTGCAGGAATTATTTACCATTGCAGATTGAGGAAGGGATGCCATATCATTTAGGTTTGAAACCAGGCAAGTTAAAGCTGAATTCTAACCCACTTCAACGAACTTGTATCCACTGTCTTCAAGATATCAGTGTTTGAGATATCAAAGTTCAAATATAAAAGGAACATGTTTATCATATTACGTGAGGTCATCCTCATATCTTATGCCGTATAACAATGTTTTAGATCTTATCAAGCTTTCTCCTGTACCTTTCCAAAAAAAAAACTAAACTCAGCATAATTCTCATTAACTAATTATCAGTGTTACATGCGTTTGTCAATGTGGGTCATTACTGGTACATGCCTGACCAACAAAAACTCTAAAGTGGAAAAACCAGAGACAAGATTTTCAGAGCAGCAGAAACAGTAAAATTTGGCACGTAAATCTATAATGCTGTGTAGTTGAGAATGCATGTACCCTAAAGGTTGCATACATAAAAAATAAAAAAAAGCGAAAAGTTCTCTTGTTTTCCGAATTTATATTTACATGTGAACAAAAGAGAAGGAGACTGATATAGTTGGTGTGATGAGATGTTGGCAGGAACTTAGTAAAATGAAACGAATTGGATAATGAAAGAAGAACTTCGGATCCTTAAAATGATACTTGTGGGGGACAATGTCTCATGGGTGACATTTTTTCAACAGACTTTACAGAATACAGATGGTCCATTGCAAACCTAATTATTAATTATATGCCAAACACTATGTTTAAAGTTTTATGTACTGGTATATATTTTTCTCAAGTACCAAAAGGTAAAGTGATGCATTATTTAATAATTTTTTATCTAAGGTCACAAAAAACAGGTACTGTGTTATATAGGGTTCCATGTCTGTCTTTCTGTGCACCAGTTTATCACATCAAAGTTCAATTGGGCGTGCATTAAACTACTGCACAGTTTAACACAATTTTGTCTTTGGCAGGCAGAGGGAGGCTTTTTGCTAACTTCAAAGTTGCTAAATCCTGTGAGAGTAATTTTTTTATTTGAAACTTAATTGTATTTTAGAGTTCATTGTTTGGAAACTGATGCAGACATTTTAGTGAAGTGGTTATGGTTTGGCTTTTTGTGTGTAACGAATATGAAGGGTATGGTCGGGGGAAAATGATATTAATGATATTATTTTAAAAATGTTTTTTTTTTACTTGCTTCAAACAGCGCCAGAATGATACAATTAATTTAAAAGTTTGGATTTGTAGATTTTTTTATTAAAAGAAAAATTGTAAATTCAAAAAAGAACATTCATGAAAATTGAAAATTCAAATATAAATTGAGCAAAAAGTATGTTATTACCTTAGGCTAAAGTCAATGTAGTAAGCTGGAGATCAACAACAGGTAAGGTGAAAAAAATTCATCTCAGGTCCATACTTTTCCATTGTTCAATATTTATGTTTAAATCTAAAATAACCTACCCCAGAGAATGTGACCTTTTTTTTAACCAGTGTAATTTTTTCTCAAGTTTAAAGCCGGGTTTCATAAGTTTTAAAAGAAAAATAAGAGGGGAGGGGGTATGAACTTTTGACTTCATTCAAAGTATCTGTGGTTTGCAGTTGCCCATGAATTTAATAAGTAATTTAATAATTTAATAATTCAATAAGTAATTTAATGATTTGATAATTTAATAATCAATCTTATAATTTAATTTAATAAATAAGTAAACAATATAACAAGTTGAAATTAGTAAAATATTATGCATGTCCTACTTGTTTTAGTTTCATCTCAGAATTTTTCAAGTTTGACCAAATCTTGAAAAAGAAAAGGCCACAAGGTTTTGCCATTATTTGACATAGCATTACAAAATTCATTATATATATATTTTTGCAACATAATAAAGATGCAAATTTAAAATGCCAAAAAAATTTAGATTCACAAAATATAATAATCACATTGAATTCATTACACAGGTTTTATAAAAAGCTAAATACGTGTAGTTTTGGGAATGTTGTTAAACGCAGCCATTTTGGTTAAAAATCTGGTATTCCTGTCTCCATGGTAACAAATCTCGCATTCCTGTTTCCATAGTAACAGAGAATGGAAAAGGAAAATTTTATTTCATATTAGTTTCAATCTAAGGGGATAGTTTCCGGAAACTTGAAAGATGCCCAGGTTTGTCTACATGTACTTCAAAATTGTCAATTTTACGAGGGGGGGGGGATTTTGTGCAGGTGTTCACAGTTCTCCTATCTAAGAAAATATACATGTCTAAGAAACATTTTGCATGAAGAATATCAGGAAATAATAATACATTGGATTGAAATGAATCAATTTGATCATGGTCTATTCACTATTCACTGCGTATAACAGGATACACATTCAATTATGTCATGTTACTCGTGTTATGGAGTGTGAAGTTGGACAGACAGACAAACTACATTCAAACATGTACATGTATTAATGCTCTTGGAAATGGGATGTGAATATTTTTTACATGACACATCTCCTAGATATGGACAAGTTTGACTGTAAATGGCATTAAAACAGGTAATTATAAAAAGGAACATTTCTTTTCTATATGAACGTAATAAAATGTGCCTATGTTACTTAAAAAACGGAAATTTTGTAGATTTTGGGTAATTTGTCATCAGCTTTCTTAAAAAAATATTTAAATGTCCCATTAATATTTTAATGTGTTTAGACTAACTTATATACCATCTATACAATGCACTGCTTCATGAATTTCAAATCAAGCAGTGTGCAAAATATAAAAAAATCGCTTTGAAAAAGGGTCTAAAATGGAAATTTTCTCATTTTGGCAAAATGCCAAAATCCCCAAAGATAAGCGTTGTTAAGCCATTATGTAGAATTACAGTTTTTAAAAAATTGTGTTGTTATACTAAAGAGGAATAATGGTAGGTTTGAAACTAAAATAGATTTTCCCATTCTCTTGTTTCTTTGAAGCTCATTTTTATTCAGTAAAACCTACAAAATAACGTTTTTTGGTCAAATTTTAGGAAGGATTTACAGGGGAAACAATGGGTACCGTTACCATGGCAACGAGATATTTTTTGAAATAAAAAATTATAAAACCATTAATGATGTGACAATGTGAGTACACACAAACATTTCATCGAAATTGAAAATGTAGTGTGGCCATGCATTATTGATATTGTTTGATAATTACCGAGAATTGATATTAGTATCTATCTTTTTATTTATACACTGCGGTTTTTTTCAGAACCACTCGAAAAAAAAGACTGACAAATAGAATACGATTCCTGGTTAATAAACAATGATCATGTGATAATATTATAACTAAAGCGACATCAAAGAAAGACAATCAAAGCAAACAATCCAGTAAGCAATGAAATCATTAATAGTCACTTTCAAGAAGGTCCATAACAATGCCTTAAAATTAAATTTATAGAAAAACAAGATGTGTTTGTGAAACACTAATGCCTCCGTATGGCAACATAGCAAGGCTGTCCAGACAGACAGACAGGTGGACGGACGGACACGACAAAAACTTTATACTCACGTAAACGAATATAAAAAATAAATTTGTTTTTATGATTTTATCTTGCCTTAGATATGGCAATGTTAATTCACAAAATGTGAAATTTGAATTAATTTGCAATAACATGTAATGATACACTATAACCTGTGATATCAATTAATCATCACAAGCGTATTGCTAAAGCCTCTCCCAACTACGTCAGCAGTAATGAATTATTCTTTGAATTGTTTTAATAACTCAGAAAACATTTTTTTTTTCAAATTACAGATAGATCTTTTTTTTCTTTTTTTTTTTTTTGTGTGTGTTTCTTTGTTTGTTTGTTTTTTTGGTCTTTTTTTTCTTTTCTTTTTTTTTTTGCATGAATTCATATTGAAAAGCAGTTTTATCAGTTCAAAGAAATTATTTTACAGATCATCTACTGATGTTTTCAACCTCAAAGTCATTTAAGATTTTTTATCTTTTGAAAGTGGATTTATCTATGGGCAGAGTAACAACTCAGAGTTCAACCTTTCATTGTCCTGGTGGTGCATGTGTAAACTATTATTTGTCAAGTAATGCAGTTGATGGTAACACTAGCACTTGCTCAAGAGACAAAGGGATCGATAACAGAGAAAACAATAACGACGTATGGTGGAAAGTAGATCTTGGTGATTTCTACAGTATTTATAGCATTAGTATACTGTTTAGGAATGACAGCGAACACGGTAAGACATTTCTATATAGAAGTATGGCGTATTTTATTTTTAAGTTCCCTCTTTGCGCTTCTCATTGGAAAAAGCGAGGAGAAATCATTTTTTTTTTCTGTCGCCAAAAACTTAAACTTGGTACTTTCTTCAGTTCAGTTTCTATGATTTTTTTTTCTCATCCAATGATTCTATTTTATCATATGCATTATTCATGTATTCTTGAAAAAAAAAAATAATAATATGATTAAGTTGAAATATAATATTCGAATCTATTACTAAGTAAGATTAATAATATCCCTGATCAGTCAAGTCAGATAGTCATAAACTTTAAACAAATTGCAACACTATGCATTTATTGTATGATAGTGGGGGGAGTTTTTCAGCGAAGAAAAAAAATATATTTCCCGGGGGCTTTGCCCGAGTGGAATATGATATCTCTTGGCTGAATTAATAAATGTTTCCCGTTCATTCACGAATGAATTGTTAATTATTATACCTTATTTATATAATTATTCTACAAACGCGTTATCTGATTGGTTCTAGATTATTATGTGATTGGGCCATAAAACTAATATTTTTAGATCATTGGCATACTTTTCATCATATTCCACCTCTTCAAATTCCTAGTGCATTTTCCTGTAATATAGTTATTGTTCGTTGAAATAAAACTCGCAAGAGTAGAAAGACGTCACAATTGCCTGATTTATGTAATAAAATTGCTGATTTGTGATGTGTCAAAGGGTTTCAATAAAGAGCTAAAGCCACGAAGTGCAAAAATATGCCCTGTTACCAAAATGAATAAAATTTTATTCTCTGATAGGCTAGACTTTGTGGATTATAACCTAATTTATTTTTTAATGATATCTTTTCAAGTTTTCTTTTTATAGTCGTTTGAAATTGGTATTGTTTTCAAGTAAAATCTACATTGTACATGTATAACGTCATGACTTTTGACGTTATTTATACACATGTATATTGTAACGGTATGACGTTAACGTTATTTGAATGAAAGTAATTATATCTACATTATTGGAAGGGAGATCCGCTAAAATAACCCGTACCTAAGAATTTGGGAAATTTTATCATAGGACCGTTAAGAAATTTTGAATCATGAGATAAATACTTGTAGCTAGCTAGTTTTTGCTTTGATTAAAAAGTGTCAAAATACTGTTATATATTGTCCTGTTAAATCAAAAGCAACTTTTTTAAATGATACATCAAGAGAATATAGGGGAAAATTATTCATGGTGTAAATATTAGCTGTATCCCAATATTGATTAATCCATAAAGTCACGAAAAAATGAATATTAAGTGTTCAATCTTTTTTCTTTTGGGGGGGGGGGGGAATTATAGTAAAGGCAACAGAAGGTTGTTTTATTAAGCGGTTGCTACTTGTGTGATCATTCTAAACACAAGGGCCGTGCGTAATTAACATTACCACGTGTACATGTATATACGTGTGTTTTTTGCCTATCATGCGTATTTGTATGGACATTTTGTTTAAAATTATCCCTCGAACTTGCTGTACATATGGAAGGATATAATTTTGCCGACGAACCTTCACACGTTTTTTATCGTCAAGTGTTATCCCTTGGGTAGAAGCTCTACGGTAGTGTACATTGCTATGCATACTGGAAATTCATTCGAGATTCATAGTCAAAGACGTTTGACGGCACTTGTTTTGATAAACTGTAAATTAATTACCAAATCTATAACGGTTACCGCTTTATTTAAACCTCTGTAAACGCCAACAGATGAACAGGCACGGATCCAGAATTTTTTTCCAGTCAAAAAAATATACAGCTCAGAAATCTCTCTCATGCAAAAAAAAGCAAACAAACAAAACAAATCAACAACAACCCACCCCCCACCCCCCAATAAACAAAATAAACCCACATAAACTCCTTTCCCATGTTTCGGATTGTTTCCCCCATCGTCTCAAGACACGGTCTGGAGTCCGCATACAGCTCTTTCCTCCTGAATTTGAGAGTATGGGCATTTTAGTCGTGGTTTGCGACGATGATTATCTTTTCCCATATATTTAAAACCATGACTTTTTATACAAACTCAACACAGATTCCAGGGTTTCAGTGTCATCTAGGAGGGATCCAAGGTCAATTTTACTTAGTTTAGTATAGGTATTTAAAATTCTGCAAATCCCAGTTTCTTCATTTATTAGATCCGTGCATGGATGAATACCGGGTATACAGACAAAGGAGGTAACGTTTATACCTATTCAACGAATTCCTTTCAAATGGCTATCATCTCGGGGATAGAGAGAAAAATGTGAAAATTACACATTCTAAATACCAAGGTAGCATACGAGGGTTGTCCCGTAAAATCGTGGACAAGTTGTCTAGTGTGAAAAATAAACATCGCTGCGTTCTGAAATTTTCACTATTATTTAGTACACATTTTAGTAATATACACAGGAAATTTCAGATAAATATATGCATAAATAAACAAATTATAAGATTTTATGCCATGTATTGTATGACCTTACGGCGCATGGATTTTTTTGATTTTGAACATATTTTATTGTTTTGATGTTATAACAAAAGGATTGGACACAAGTTCTTAAAAACTTAGAACGTCCTCTCCTTTAAAACAATTTGTAACACAAAGTACATTGTTCAAAATTAATTTACTCAGGAACCAAAGGTTTATAACGTCAAAGTGTCTAAAACAGCATCACGTTTTAACTTTGCTGAAAATGAAGTTGGATGAGTCCGACTTAAATTTGGGAATTTCATTGAAACATATTCCTTAGTCTCCATAAACAGTCGAAGAACCAACTGGCACCCTCATGCGATCTTCTGAAGATTTGTTAGTAAGTTACGGATAATATTCTCACCACCATTCAACTAATAGAAAATTTCATATCGGCGGTCTACTGTGACAGCGTCTTTTGCTATTAAATTAGGAGTTCGTCCGTGTGTTTTGTGCTCCCCAGTGACTCGATCAAAAAGACTTCGCTAAGAAAACTCCTATTTCATTTGTATACTTAAGATATGGTGACATTTTTATGATCTTTTTTTCTTCTATGGTCATTTCAAGTCTCTAAAGGTGTCATTACAACATTGATTTAAAACTGAACTGCTATCCGGTGCACCGTAACGTCATAAAATGTCGCCATTTTTCGTATGTTGCGTTTAACACTTTCCCATTTCGAATGCTCGAGAAACTGCCAAAAATTAACCAAATGCCTTAAAATTTTTACAAAGACTACAAAATTGATTGTGGAATTGAATGAGGATAATTTTAATCCAAATCTTATGTATTTAAAACTTTTATTTTGACTTCAAACTTGTGTATTCTTTAATAAAAACTTGGTTTTTTGACCGTGCGCCGTAGGACACTACCCCATGCACATTCAAGCATAATAAAATGTTTATTTTTGCCGATATTTTATCAAAAAATTATCATGCACTTAAATATGATAAATTAACAATTACTGAAATTTTCAGCTTAGTGCGCCCATTACTTTTCGAGAAAAACGCTTTGTCCACGATTTTACGGGACAACCCTCGTATTTTAAAATTATGATCTCTGAAGGCAACGAAATTACATGCACGAGATAATTCTGATATTCTTGGACACCCCGTGTGTCTGATATTCTTGGACACCCCGTGTGTGAAATAACTGTTGTCATTTTATATAATGTTTGATACCCCATTTGAGCGGAAACTGGAATATATGTAATTCCGTTCAAGTGTAGATCAAGGCTAGTTATATGTTATGCAGTTAAAGATCTATGTTATATTTTTTAACAATAAAGAATATTAAAGATCACCCCCGCTGTTGTGATATGTTGTGAGAAAATTACCCTACCTTTTGATCATAATAATCAAGTTATGCAAGTATTTATAAATGAAAACGCCCACCCCCCGAAACACTATTGAATAGATTTATTTCACTTCGTCAGTTTTTCACTTGTAAAAATTGAAATATGAAATATTTGGAAAACCTATACAGGTAAATATTTAAAGCAAAGGGGGCGTTGCGAAAATATTTATTAAATACTGAATTCTAAGACACACCAATATGCTGACATATTTCTGTATTTTATATTTCTACCACATGGAATTATAATTGTTTGAAATATATATTGATGAAAATATCAGTATACATATGTACATACATCTATACCCTCCGTGCGAAGCTAAGCACGGCATCATTAATAAGATTTTTGCTTTTGAAGCAGGATGAAAATTTACTTTTCTACACCTGCATAAAATTATTTCAGAAGATTTTGTTTAAAAGTAAAATAGATCGATGGCTGATAAACGTATGTAAATAACGGCTAATATATGCAACAGTGCTGGCTCTACCTCTCGTAATAAGGAACTTGAAATTGACATATACTCATCCAAGTTCAAGACTTTGTTTTATGGAATTGCAGACAATTTAAATATCAAAATCCTTCAATTTCGTACATTATTTCTTTTTTTTAATTAATATTTTAGAAGCAAGGTAACACAATATAATTTTGCTTAATCAGACGTGATTATGATATTCCATGTTTATCAGTTTATACAGTGATGTGGATCCAGAAGGGGGGGGGGGGTCCATTCTTTGAATTTGCTAAAAAGAGTCCCAAATTTTTGTTGTGCTCATGTAGTAACAAATGTAGAAATTCGATTGTGTGAAAACAAAATTGGATTTACGGGTTCGGAGATTTTAGATTTATTCTCTTTCCTTTGTCAAAAACTTTCAGGTACTAAGTCCATAATTTTTCCCAGTCTGATGACTCTCCCACTTTTAAAACGATACTACATCCCTGGATCTTTTTATCTTTCTGTAAGCGTACCTTATAACAACTCTATTCCTCTTCAATCCCCCTTCTGAAAAAAAATCTAGATCCGATTCTGTTTCACTTAAGTATTTACAAGCTAGTAATCTAGTAATCATGTAAAGCAGCATTAAGATTTGTCTTTTGAATAACAGTATAGTATCCTATAGTTAAATTATTTAAAACGAAGGTAGTGTACAGCTTTAAAACGAAAACAGGCGATTGA